ATAAGTAAATAAATAAATAAATAAATAATACACTTAACTATCTGAAACAAAAACAATATTTTAATATACTTGCACTGTTACAAAATGTAGGGTATGAGGAAATGTATTGGACAGTAAACTAGTGGGCAAATATTGTGAATAGAGATGGACATGAATCACAAAAATGGTAATTTATTTTGTTCTGTGAGTCATCAACATTGATGAATCACAAATTATGAATTTACAAAATTTTAAATTTTTTTACTTTAAAACTCGACATGTTTGCCCCACAAGCACCTAGGGATACCATATTTGCAGGCAAGTTTCTCCTGATTCTTCATTACAATCCTTCTAGGGTTGGTGAAGTTCGGGGTTTAGATGTCTGAGTTATACACAGTAGGTTCCAGCTAAGTCACCTAGTGACACTGAAATCAAGCTTTTACTGACTCTCCTCCACAATCCCTCCATGTTTGGTGAAGATTGGGTTTTATAGCCAAATGAAATGAAGAATCAAAAATCACTAGAAATTCATTGATTTATATTCTTCAGGGGCATTGATTCGTATGAATATGAATTGACGAATTAGCAATTTTTGAATAAATCTGGTGATTCATTTTTTATTGATACCCTTCTGTATTTGTGAGTATTTATTTGTTATATTTAGTCTAAGGCTTAGTAACTTTGCATAGCACTGGCAAAGCAATCTAGAACAACCATTCTCAGTGAGGGCCATATGACCCCCTGGAGGGACTTGGCACATTTTAAGGGAACCATTGATTGGAAAATGTGAGAACTTTCTGAAGTTTCTGAAAAATATCTGTTCTTGTTGTATCCTTGTTTGACAGGGGACCCTGGAACCTGAGAAGAACTCCTAGAGAGACATGCCCCTCACCCCCCAAAAAATGTTGAGAATAGCTAGTCTACAATAGGAGTGGAAAAAATATCCACTAAATTGTGCATTCTTTTTAGTTTAGGATATTTGAACATGATGAGAGACCTAGACATAGAAAGAGTTTCAAGCCCCATAAGATCTAGTGTGAGAATAAAACAAGTAATGCTATTTTCCTAGTCAGGATTTATGCAGTGCAAAATGCTTGTGCAAAACCAGAGTCCTTTCCTTTTAAAAAGCAAAGCACACACAGAAATAAGCATGCATAGCAAGCACAGAAGCAAGCACTACCTGACTGCTTAAAAAAAATTCAAAGAACCCATTCCATGTTGCAGTTTTTTAAAAGTGCTTGAAACAAAACCAGGTGCTATCACAATTTCACACAACTTGAGTTAAAGCTTTATTTACTAATGAAATAACTCGGGTCCTGGATCAGAGCTTTTTAATCTCGTTTAAAGTCACCTGGTAGTCATGTGGTTTTTTTGTCAGTGTGGCTGTCCTCTTGCTTCTCTGTGTGTTTTTTTAATTCTTGCATCTGATATAGCGATAAACAAAATGCTACATGGGGGGGGGGAGAGCTTAAAACAGGTTTCCTTGCAGCCTGATACTTTTTGTGCAGGGAGACAGACATCTCTGTGTTTTCCCCCAGTACAGACCTTGTCAGTTTCAGCCCTCCCTCTGACTCATTTTTGGCAGGAGCATTTTGTTTATAGGAGACACGAGGATGGGGGGGGAGGTCAGGGCTACTCTTTCACTCTCCATTAAGTGTCAAAGAAAGGTCTGTTTTAATTTATTTTATTTATTTTATTTTATTTATTAGATTTATATACCACCCATCTAGAACATGTCTACTCTGGACAGTTAAGATTTTTTTTTCCTATGTGGCATTCTGTTATTTCACTAGACCAGATATAAGGGATTGTTTAAAAAATGGAGAGACTTGAGCTAATTCCCTGTCAAATTAATCTGCACTTCCATTTGTGTTGTGTATTCACCCTATTTTACATCAATTTAAAACATGCTAACCCAAATTAAGTATTTTTTAAAAATAATGTAACTGCATCCTAAATTGTGCTACCAGTGCCAAGCCATCAAGCTGATAGTGCCAGGAAAAATATCTTGCTTTCTTACAAGAAAGGAAGGAAAAATGCAGCTATCATACCTCTGAGAATAAAATACAAAGGATTGGTTTTTGGTTCTAGAAGCAACAAATGGTGGTGGTCGTGGCGATGGAACCCTTTATTAGAATACTTGTTGAAAACAATTGCAGGATTTTTTTTCTTTAAAAAATACCTTTTTATTTTTCATGTCTTTGCCTATGGCGCTGTGTGCATTTGTGCTTCTGAATAAGCCTGTCCCAACATAAACAGATGCAAACTCAGCACACACTCCTCTTCCCCTCTTTACTCCCTTGTCACCTTTGGGACGCTTACCTGTCAGAAGCAGTTTTGTGTGTGCTTTTGCCATCTGTAGCCCTGCAGGTGCTATTTAGCTTAGCAATATGAATCTGTGTCTTTTGTCTTTCTCTTGCATCCTATACATCAAGAGCCAGAGAAACACCACTGGCTGCTCTTTATTACTCATGGCAGAAACATGTATTGAAAAGTGGGCCAAGGAGGCTCCTTGGTTGATGGGGGAGGGGAAGGGGGAAAAGGAAAAGGGAAAAAAGAGAAAACAGGAGGAACTGGTGGAGACACTGGGAAGCGGGTAATCATATTTGTTTTGGGGATGTACATACTTGCTCATCTCCTTCAGTGTGAGAAAAAGAAATACTGTTTTCAGCTAGAGTTTTCGCATTCATGAGGACATTTTTTGTACACTTTGAACAAGTTACATAATTTTTGTTATACAAATTGTACTGTTGTAATAGCTGTTGCCTTGTTGGATTGGCTTTTAAAAGCTAGAAGCTTTGGATGGTTAGTCTTCAATTTTTTAACTAATAATCTTTGTACTTCCATGCTTCCTTTGTGTTTATGTGCATGTACATGTGTGGCTTTTGCTTCTGAGGTAACAAGGGCATTAGTTTTTATAGAGGCATTTCCTACAAAATGAGAAAACATCAATGAATTTTAAAAAAACAAATCAAATACAATTTCTTGACCTGTTCTCATTCTAGATATGAGAAATGTTGCAGGAGTCACCAGTTTTTGAGTCTGTTTCAGTGTGTTGAGATAGGTATCTTATCAAATAAGTAATTAATTTTTTTTCCACATTCCTACTTTGTACACCCAGTTATGCCACTTTCAGACTCAACATTGTTATTTGGATAAATGGAGTACGGTATGTCATCTTAATGCTTCTTTCTTTATAGGTCTAGTGAGTCCCCTTGAGGTGTTCATGAATGCTAGGAGTGTTGAAGTTGCCCGGGGCCAGACAGCAATCCTGCCCTGCACCTTCACCACCAGTGCTTCGTTCACTAACCTTAACGTCATCTGGATGGTCACTCCACTTTCCAACGCCAACCAACCTGAACAGGTATCTGCACCTTGGTAGGAAAGAAAAAAACACACAAATCAGCTTATTTCTGCCTTCTCCTTTATTGATACTGGGATCCCCACAGGGTCATAGAATCATAGCGTAACTTTGGAAGGCCATCGAGTCCAATCCCCTACTCAGTGCAGAAATTCTCTGTTTCTTTTCAAGTCCAGCTGAAGTGGTCTCTGTAGGTCACGTAAAGGTTATAGAGAGAGGGAAGAGAGGGAACTGTTTTGTCTGAGTTTGGTTAGTTGTATCCGTCTCCTCAAGTATCAGATAGGGGCAGGTGGATTTGATTTAAATCATTTCTATTTTTAAAATTGATTTTTTTATTATTTAAATTTTAAAAATCATTGTTTGTATTTAACTTGTGATTTAAATCAATTTGTTGTTTTTATAAAAAACATTGATTTTTTTCCACCCTGGGTAGGGCAGAGAGTCCCTATTTTAAAGACAATTAATTTGTTGTTTTTTCATGCAGCATTCTTTTGAAATGAATCCACACTGCTAGTCAAGAATAGTTGTGGTGTGCCAGTGAGGATTGTGTTGTTTTCAGCACCATTTCCCCTTTTTTTCTTTCACTTCTTAATAGATTACCTGTAGTACAAGGCAGTTCTATACTGGATGACAAATGAGCATGCAGTAACTAAAACTTTCAAATTAAATTGGCTTAAACAATGTTTTTTTTGTTTGTTTGTTTAGTGTGTGGGGTTTTTTGGCCAAAACTCTATGAAAATTGAAGGCTTTTATTTTCCGGGTGTCCTCTTAAAGCATAAAATAATGGTTGAAATTATGTTGCTTAGTGTAATAAGTCACAATTCGAGTGGGCCCACTTAAGTCAATGGGACTGCCATTGACTCACCAAATATGGTGCAGATTCCATAGAAATCAGGATGTTTTTGCAGTCTTGCATAAAATTGCATCAAGGTTATGGTTGGATGAATCTATCCATGCTACTTTCTGTAACACTCAAAGTTATTCAAGCACAAGTGTGTTGTGTCCCATTTCTGTGCTACTTTTCATTTAAAACAATCCACATGAAAATTTAAGTGATTTTTTGTGTTTGCAAAAATACATATGTGTGTATTTTGTATGCAATTTCCCCTTATCTTTGCTTCATTGTACTTTGTATACACCCAATGTACACATTTTGAATGCAGTTTCATTGCTTGTAATTTTGTGTACATTTTTGCTGAGATGACTGCATTGAAACAAATTTGAGAAGTGCAGATATTAAGGGGCAACTGAATTCAGATTTAGGAAATACAGGTCGTCATGTTCCTAGTAATGTTACTATGTGAAACATACTTTTCTGTCATTTTGAGAAATACCAGAATTTCACCCCAATTCCTAGTCAAGGTAGTTTCCCCTTCTCTTTGCTGCATCAGTGCACATGGATGCAGATCATTACTGTTAAGGGAGCAGGCAGAGGGAGGAGAGATGTAAAGGAATGGAAGGCTGCAGCAAGCTGCCAATGAGCAAATTATCTGTATAAAACTTGACAGTAAAAAAGAGGAATAGCAGAAGGTTCTTTGTTCATTGGATCCACTTCGGGGGAATGAGATCAAGGATTTTAGGACTCTAAAATCCAGAGGAAAATTCATTTGTAGCCAAGGGAGGGAGGGTTTGGAAGCATTCCTTTGCAGAAGCTTCTTTTCTGCTCTTGGGTGCAAAGAAGGAAAGACAAAATAAACTAGATTTGATTCTTCCCTTTAGGGGGCACTTGATTGTTCTCCCCATACCATTTATATCTACTGTGTGAGTATTTCTCCATGGTAGCAAAAGCAGGAATGGAGTGCATAGTAAGGATCCAGGCACACCATATGGTTTGTCCTAGGCATTGAAAACAATTGTAGTTTGTGAGTTGCACTAAAACCACAGGACGTTGGAACTTGTGCATAATGAATGAAGGGGACCTTATTGTAACCTTTACTCCTCTTGAGACAGTATTGTATCTTTGTTTTCCAGGTTATTATTTACCAAGGGGGTCAGATTTTTGATGGTGCACCCCAGTTTTATGGGCGAGTGGGGTTTGCGATGACAATGCCAACCACCAGTGCCTCCATCTTCATTAACAACACTCAGCTCTCGGACACTGGGACATACCAGTGTTTGGTCAACAACCCACCAGACCGAGGGGGACGGAATATTGGCGTGATTGGGCTCAATGTCTTGGGTATGTGCTTCGATAAGGCAGAATATGGCAGATGAATGGGTAGAAGAATGATAGATTTCTGGGATGGAACTGAGTGGACTTACCCCCAGAGGTTATGGAGGTGTTTGGGACCTTATTTGATTTGTTTGCCTACTTTACTTATTACTTCTTCCC